TTGTTTATAAGGAGGTTTCCTATAAATGTATGTGAATGAGGACCTGGTTGACATCAGCCTGATGAATCATCTAACAATGCTTTCGTTTTCTCTCCAGACTCAAAATGTAATGTCCACTCCTACAGCAATTTAATAATCCCATGGTTAGCAAACTGCTAAACACTGTCTCCTCATTTATGAGTAGCAGGAATTACATCTGTATTTTTCACACAAATTGAATCATTGGAAAAAAACGATAACCCTACTTGTAGAAAATTCTAAATAGGTTGCAGTTCTGTTACATATGACATTTCAGTCTGTAAATATCACACCAAAGTCAGAAAACTAATATGAGTAGCCCTCACCTTATTGAGGAATGAGTTACTGAGCATGAAATGCCAACAACTATATCCCAAAAGAATGTTTAAATAATTTTAGATAACATTGCGGGGGGGAGAGGGGGGTGGAGAATGCCAGGATTTGTGGAACATGTTCGTCAATCGATCTATACCTGAGTTCAAAGGCCTGAATAGATACTAAGCATAAATTCTCTAGGATCCCATTATGTTAGAAGAATATTCTAACTCAGGGAAAAAGAAGAATGCTTGTTCTTTACACAAAAAATGTTTATTCTTAAAACAGCATTTGATTTTAAAGTTTAATTCTGGTTCTAGTCATGAATTTTCAATTCTTTTTATTAGTTATTCATTAAGTAGTTAGATGAGCCTTACTTTAAAAAAAAGTATTAATTTTTTAAAAAATTTGCTATACAGTGTCTGTGCTCTCCAGAGAGAAACAGAGGGAGATAGAAAGTGAGAAAGCATGCCCCAAAAGGGATGATCATGCCACAATCACTTCTCCCTCACTCCCCTCTCAGAATTTTGGGTACATACGCACATGTGCCCAGCGTGTTTCTTAAGCCACTGGGTTCAGGACTCAAACTTCATAGTCAGCCATATTAGACCCAGCTTCCTTAACCACTATACTATCTGCTGGCCCCTTAATGTTTTTAGTATTCTATAAAGCTTTAATTTGGAAAGTTTGAAAAACTTTGAAAACTAAACTTAAAAAATGAAAGCTAAAGTCATTTATGAAATTTCCACTCAGACATTTGATATTAATATTTTAACAATATTTTGAGACTTCCCATCTTTTGATTAAACATATGGGGAAATAGACACCTTTTTTAAAAAAGTATGATAGTGCATAAATATTTCTTAGTACTTTCATATCATTAAATAGTCTCTTATTATTGTAATGACTGCATCAATTTTATCATATGATCATAGCCATCTAATTATTTACTTTTAGACATTTATAATATAGTATTTCTAATTTTGTTTGCATATACAGAGCTTCATACACATCTTTGATTATATCCATAGGATAAATTCTCAAAAGTTAAATTGCTATATCAAGTAATAAAAACATAAAGTTGTAGGGTTTTTGTTGTTGGTTTTTTGTCATCCTAATATGTGTTGTCATATATTGCCAGCAATATGTGAAAGAGCTCTTATCCCAGGAACATCACCAATACTGCCAGCATCTCTTTTAATGTGGGCAACTCTTCCTAAAATAGTCGACTGCAAGTTATGTTTAGAAATGCTTTAATGTCGTGTTAGGCCTTAGTCACATCTCAGGATGTCATGTGGTTAGTTTCACAGGAATTTCTCTTCCAATTTCTTCCTGAACTTCAAGTAAGGGTAGTGAATAAAAGACATCTCTTTCCACTAAAATGCAAAAATATCCCTCTTAGCACTTAATGTACAAATATATAGTTTTCCTTTTAGACTATATAACACAGGAATTACTAGTTTTTGTTCTACTCTTCCTGAAATCTCTTCCATCACCTTCTGAATTCTTTTTTAACTGAGAAAAAGAAAAAACAGAAAATTCAGCCTATTGTGGCCACTGTAAATGATTTCATAGTACAGCAAAAAATAAAACTACTCCATACCATGACTTTCGTCATCATTATTATTATTATTATCAATCTTAATGCATTTTTATTAATCATCCATGTAGAACATGGCATTGTATTCCTAGGAAAAAAAAAAAAAGAAAACGAAATAATATCTTCAATTGACTTACTCAGTAGTTGGGTAATAAGAATATATATATATATATATATATATATACTAATAAACCCTAATATGCAGTAGCATTTCTAAGTGCCCAGAGGGAGTCAGTCAAAACCCTTAGAGTTTTGAAGTGATTACGAAGTAGAAGACAGTTATACAGGACAGGGATTTGATCCACATTGCAAAGAATGTTTAGAACCTTAAGAAGAGAAGGAAGTGTGTCCCAAGGGAAGGTTACAGGGTTTACAAGAGAGAGAATGCAAATGACACTTTCAGAGTAAATACAGCAATGAGCCAGATTGGCCAATGCAATATTATGGCAGGAGAAACATCTGGAGTAGTTAGCTCCAGTTGGATATCTATAACAGATAAGCAGTATAGGCTTAAGAGAAGTCCACTGGAAATAGAAAGCCATTTAATTGTTTATGAGAAATAGACAAATAATTCAGGGAGCTTCATAAGGTATTAGTATAAAATATGTTAGTACCAAAATGAGATAATTACGGCCTAGACTTTTAGAAGAAGTGTGAAGCAAGCATAACACGCTAATGCCCCTGAGATAGAAGAGTCAGCAGAACTTACCAGCTGATTAGCTGTAAAAATAATAGACTACTGAGAATTCCCCAAACATTTTTTTAAGGTATTTGCCATAGGGCTGTGTGCTCATCAGAGAGAGACAGAAAGAGACAAACTTTTATACAACTTGGATTAGGAACTCTAATACATGAGCCAGTTGTTAACCATGTACAGAAAACAGAATTCTACAGAGAAGGGGATGATACATCTGTAGGGGAGCTAAAAAGTGATGGTGGAAATTTCACTGGTAAATTCAGCTTCAGCTTGGACCTCAGGGGTGAATACAATTTCACCTGCTGGGAAAGGTGGAAAATTGAAGAGGACAAAAGAGGAGCAAAAACTGACCTTCAAAATATTAGATCCATATGACTGGGGAGAGATGATAACAGACTACCAGAAGGAAGCATGACAGTAGATGTTTTAGGTAGAAAGATAATGAGCTCAGTGTAGATAGTGTTCACACAAATGTGTAGAGAGGATCTAAAATCTGGAGGCACTGGGGCTCCATCCATGAACAAAATGGACACAAATATTTTCGGCTGTCATGGTGTTTACATTCTAGAGTTTGGAAACAAATTCATAATTAAGTGGATGGTCTTCACCCCAGAAATGTGTTTTGCTGTACTGTGTGCTTTCTATTTTTCTCTCTTTTCTGTCTCCCATATCAATAAGATAAAATAGGTAACAGAGGAAAGCATAGGTGACTAGTATCTGGTAAAACAAGTCATTACTTAGGCAACACACTACCAAATAACAATTCCCTCTAAGAATTCACACTACTCTCAAACTGACCTTGAAGTCTATAAGCTTCTGACAAATGGTTGAGTAATTGAGAGCAATAAATTAGAGTCAATCACATTCAGTTAGGAGAATCTAAAGTCCTAATGCACTAAAACAAGACAGTCTTAATGCACTAAAACAAGACGACCTTCTAGCTTTGCATTTTTATTGTCCCCTTTCTGCTCCCTGGCTGTGCATGATGTTATGTTGAGATCTTCTGACCTTAGTAGTACTTCACGAGATGTGTGTGGACTGTAGTTCTCACTAGGTCTCGTTGCTGGAAGATTCAAAGTGAGAAAAAGATTGGGAAAGTATTTGCAGGTCAGAAACAAGACTTGTTAAGTGACTAACCTTGGAAGTTAAATTCTTGTTGCAATTAAAACGTTCAGATTATACCCCTGAAATGTTCAGTTTAAATGGAGAAAAAAAATGTCACCTGTTCAGCATTACAGCTCAAACTGCTCTCAAGGACAGTTGAGGGATACAGATGAATACCATTTTTTACTTGGCTCTGTAGCTGTATAGTATTCATTTCACCCTTCAGTAACCTGCTATGCTGAAAAGAGACAGAACATTGAGGACTTTAAAGTTTTCTGACCTCCACACCACTGGGAGCCCTTCTCCAGAATACTTCATCTAACTGGTTAAAAGCATTCATTTAATTCCCTGTGAAAGGCATTTGTGATTTTATTTATTAATCATTAAATGGGTTACTATAAACAATTCTTTCAAGTTTAAAATTATGCCTATTAATTTTTTTCTGAAAATTTGTGTATTTTAAATTAAGTATTCTTATCAAAGCCCTAGTTCTATCTAATTCTGTCAAAACAGTATGTTAAAATCATTTCAAAGCAGTATAGTGTTAAAGTTATCTCCAGACACTTTAAAAAACTTTGAGGTCATCTAATCTAATTCTTTTGAGAAGCCCATTTGAGAATAAATTGTCTTCACAATATGGTTTCAACTGCTAAGTATCTTTAAAAATTTAGTTCATTAACAAGCATTTATTAAGTGCCTACTGGGCGCTAAGTCTTACAACAGGAATATGCAGTCCAAAAATGAATAAGGCATAATTACCCTCGAAATTTCATAGGATAGTAAGATGTGGGTTTATTGAATCATTTTTGTTTATTTCTCATAAGGTGATTTAGATTTCTCGTTTTCTTTAAGATCTGGCTAAGACTGGTTTAGAAATATTGGGTCCCATTTTTAACCACACCTCACTATCAGGTTTCCATCTGATCGTAATTTATTCAGCAAGCACATGACTAAAAAAGAAACAAAGACTTTAAAGCTATTTTAGAAAAGATTTTAGGTATACTATAATGCACACTTTATAGAAGAGAAAACTGGCAGGGATCTGACTTCAACCCACATTTCCAGAGTCTAATCAGAAAGGGTTTCCAGTGCAATCTACAAGAGGTAGAAAAAATGAAAATGACAATTATTTGTGCTAATGATTACCTTAATCGATTGTGGGATTATATTTTACCTTACACACTAAAGTCGAATTCATTCTCTGTTCTCTCTGACATGTATCATGCATTATTCCTTACTGTTAACAGACATATTCTGATGTATCAGTTTTCCAGATCAAGAAATTCGGAAAGTGGCAGTTCGACAATTAGACAACCTCTTGAATGATGAGCTTCTGGAATATCTCCCACAGCTAGTTCAGGTAAGAACAGCAGGTTTGCCAAGAGATTCCAGGATTTTAACTAATGATTCGCTTAAGAAGTTTCCAATGAATCAACGGTAGACTACATAAAAGTGATATTGCAATTTGACTAGCCAAAGAGCTAAATTATAGCTCGTGTGTCAATATGGGTAATGCAAATATTCTCTACCCAAAATGGATACAATAACAAACAAGAAAAAAAAAAGCACACAAAAATGAAATAAGAATTTTTTTTTAAGTTTCTCTTATTGATTACAACAGGGAATAGACAGAAATGTCTGTGATACAATTTTTCATCTAACCATACATGTAGAACAAAAAAAGCTAGTCAAATAAGTGTTACGTGGGAAATAATCACTTGCCAGGCAGCATCTCAGAAATTTTGAGTTGTTTGCCTCTCCCTTGATTATAAATGTGTTAAGAGTAATTTCCAGTACTAAAATTGCATCACCAAATTGACATTTTCAATAGTATATTTTAGTGACAAATAAAATGTTGGATTGATTTTAGAAAATAGTATAAAATTATCCAGAAATGTGAGCAAAGGCTGAGATAGCTTTAATATGAGAGCAAGAAAGATAAACAATTAAATTATACTTATTGAGGGGCCAGCTGGTGGCATAGTGGTTAAAGCAGCTGGATCACACAATGTTGATTGCATGGTTGAATCCCAGACCTGGGGCTTGAAGAAAACACTAGCGCATGTGGGTGTATGTCCAAAATTGGGAGAGGAGAACGGAGAAGGGGTTACACTGTGGCCATCCCTCCAGGAATACTTCCTCACTTTCCCTCTTTCTCTCCCTTTCTCTCGCTCTATCAAGTGCACACATCGGATAACAATTTGTTTTTAATTACACTTTTTACAAATGACTATGTAAACAGCTGAATATTTAAACTGTTGAATATCATTTTCTTTCCCAAAATGACAGTCTGCTAAGTGATGAGTAGGTCGAAAATAGTGATCTTTAGTTTTTATTTCGTTTTAAGTCAAGTGTTTTTTTTTATCTCAAAAGTCAGGTTGTAGTTACAAGGTATTTTAAATGCCATTTGTCCCAGGTTTTGAATATTGACAGGAGAGGCTCTCTCTTTTTTGTTTTTGTTTTTTGTTTTTTGTTTTTCCATAGGGTTTGTGTGCTCACCAGACAGAAATAGAAAGAGCGAAAGTGAGAAATTGTCCCCCAGGGGAGATGGCCACACCACAATCCCTTCTCCTCCATTTGCCTCTAAGGATATTTTTCATGATTTGGGGCATGCAGGCACAAAAGATTCTGACCAATGGAAGAAACTTCTATTAAATAACTTTAATAACATATTACTTTGCCCACAGAACACAGCTTTCTAGGACACCCTACTAAAGTAGAGAACTGGTTTGGAAATAGAGCTGGTTTGGACTATTATAGTCTTCATAGTAGTTGAATCCTTCTAGCAATCTTACAGTAGTGCCTTCCCTAGGTTTGCCGGGAGAGTGTAGTGAAAATAAAAATTACCCCAACTTTTAGGATTCTTAGTCATCTCATGACTCATGGGTATGGGCACATTGCTATGTCTAACCCAATTCGAAAGAGTATGTTTTTATAAAAATTTATGTAGATTCACCTAATTTGAAAGCGTCAATCTGAGTCAGTAAATTTGGCACACGAAATATCACTGAGAGCCATATTCCTGCACATCAAAGTCATAAGACAAGGTGCACCCAGAATCCAATAGAGCAAACACACAGGATGGTAAATTAGGTAAAGCTATGTAAGAAGATTATAAAATGTTTGGAGATGGAAAGAACTGTATAATGTGACTGAAAGTAAATAAAACTAGGAAGAATTTCAAAACATTCGTTTTAGAGTTTGCCCTTAGATTTCCATGCTCCTCCTTGACTTCAAACCTTTTTAACACATAAAGCATCCTACCTTGTTGATTACTTTCTGGAATCATATTATTTAGTTATGTATTATCATGTTAGAGTAATGCAGACTATATTAAAGCAATAAGAAAGGTCTCCAAAATCTTAACAGAAACAGCAAATCTAGCTTATAGCTAAGAGTCAAATAAGATACAGACCCAGAGAGTATGGTGAATTATAGGTCATAGTTAGCAGGTAGGTTCATTTTTATAAACAGGGTTTATAATAATATGAAATGCATAGGAGAAATGGCTATGTCCTAGCTGGTAGAGCAGGATTTATTGAGAAATTATATCAGCAGACAGAGTGAAACAGGGAGTTTGTAAGCAAGACAGCAATTCAAAACAACAAATAGGAGGACCAGCAGATGTGTAATGGTTACGTCGCTGGATTCTTACGTAGTTGACCAGAGTTCAAGTCCTGAACCTGGAGGCTTAAAACTCACACCAGGCATGTGTGTACATGTGTCCTAGATCCCGAGAGGAGAATGGAGGAAATAAGATTGTGGTGTGGCAATCCTCCCTCGCGGGGGTGGGCAGGGTGGTGATGATTTCTTGCTTTCTGTCTCCCTGTCTCCCTCTATCTGGCAAGCACACTTGTCCTATAGCAAAAATCTGTCTTAAAGAAAATAATAAATAATAAAATAACAGATAGGCCCAAATAGGCCCAGCCATTGTGGTACAAGTAACAGAGTGGGGTTTTGCAATTCTGGAGCCACATGGAACAAACTGATCTGTATCTGGGGTGACCTGAAACCCCACTAGCACGTGGTCCTGGCTGACTGGAAGACCAGGGGAAGGGGAAGGATCACAGCGAGCGTGACTAGAGATACCTGTGTGTGTGTGTGTGTGTGTGTGTGTGTGTTATATTATATAATAAGCTAAAAACAAAAGAGACAGAGAGAGTGCACAATAGTTATTGGGAACATGAGGAAATACTGGGGCTAAAATCCAGAAATCTAAAAGACAAGCATGGAAGTAAATTCCGAGACATATGTCCCGCTCATGGGACTATATGATATGCTCACTATTACAACATAAACAAAACTATGACCCCGGCAGCCCAGCCTTAGCAAGCAGATGAAAAAAGACCAGGGCTGCAGTTTGAGACGACACGCATCATGATTTTTCTGCATTCAGACAGCAGCAAAAGTTTATGCAAATTTGCTGAGATCATCTTCTGCACTCACATCTTAGGAATTTATAAACCTGTCCATCCCTGAGGATGATGAGTGTATTGCGGTGTTTCTCCAGGTATGCGTGACAGGATGTCATACCTACATTTTTCTGTTGTCTGTACTGTGATAGAAAGCCTGGCTTACACTCTGTGTGTATGAGAGAGAGAATCAGGGAGTGGGAGGGACGTAAATGGCTGATGGAACAACTAAAGACAGGCGCTTTGGCTCTCAAGCAGGGATGAGCATTTTTATGAGAAGAACTTGGTTTTTATTTTCATATACTCAGATTTAGGATCATGATAGGAGCTCAGGAAAGATTACAGACCATGAAGTCCCTGCAAAGGGCAACTGAGAGTCTAAATTTGTTCCCTAAGGATATCAAGAGCAACTGCTTTCTGTGTTTTCTACCAGGCCAGGTATCCTAGAACACTTTAGAGAATTGCTCACAGCGGAGATGAGGGCAAGGATTTGGGAATTGGTTATGATGATAACATAACTTCGAAACTTTGAACAAAATTGCAGGGCCTTCAGGCTAATACTGATATACCAGTTGGTGCTTTCTGCTCAGGCTTTACTGTGCATTAATGTCATCTCCAAATGGGAGAAAAAAAAAAAACTCTCTGCTTGTTAATAAGATCATTTTTTATAATCCAGAGATGTTGTTCACAATACTACTTGTTGTGCCAAGATTCTCCCCCCAGGGAATGATGGGCTTCTACCAGCTACCTGGTCTTATTTATTGTTCTGTGATCCCAAAGCATAAGTAAGGAAAAGAAACAAGACTGCACAGATCCAAATTGTGTAGTCTGTGCGTGCACACACACTACATTATTAGTTGTAAATCATCAACTAATGAGCCAGCTCTGAGGTCTTGTGGTTAAGGCAGCCAGATCCCACAGGACTGACTGCACAGTTTGAGTTCCAGACTGAGCAGCTTGAGAATCATGCCAGGTGTGTGTGTGTGTGTGTGTGTGTGTGTGTGTGTGTGAGCCCAAAATCCCAAAAGAAGAGAGATGGAGGAGAAAGAATTGTGGCATGACCATGCCCCATGGGGGCTACTTTCTCCTCGCCCTCTGTCTTTCTCTGGAGAGCACAAGTGCCCTCTAGTAATAATAATAATAATAACAACAACAACACAGCAACTAATAAAACTGTCCAATGTATTAATATTTTGTTAAAATATGCATACTGTTTTCTCTAATCTTTTCTCAAACCTCTGAAGTTCCTTGGTATTCTGTTATAGTTTTGTTGCTGTGAAAAAAGAGTAAAGTAATTATGTCTCTTACTTCAGGCTGTCAAGTTTGAATGGAACCTTGAAAGTCCTTTAGTACAACTGCTGCTACACCGCTCATTGCAAAGCATCCAGGTTGCCCATCGTCTTTACTGGTAAGATTAGCCAGAACAGGCTGGGATGCCATTTAATTACCAACTTCCCTGTGGGGAAACTTTAAAGGAAGTCGAAGATTTCTTTACTTTGTGATTAATATAAACTTCAAAAGTTATAATTCTATCAAGAGCAAGCCAAAGTTATTTCGATTTATGAGCATAATTTAACTGTTATTATGTTTAAAACCTTCCTTTTGGACCGTTGCTAATGTCAAATAGCACGCTAAATACAATCAGAACTTTACATCTAGATGGCTCCTTTTCCTGTTGCTTTAAATCACAAGTTCTATTGCAGATATACCTACTCATTGAAGATTTCAGTATAAATTCTAGTTGTAAAACTGTTTTGGAAGAACATGTGCCTTACAAAGTACTTTCTGTGCAATATTAGTTATAAACAAAGGAATCTGAAGCCCGGTGGAAACACTTTCTGTTGAAAATTCCTAGAGCACTCAACATTTCCCAAAGCATAAATTTGAAATATTATTAGAAAAAAATTACTTATTTATGTAAGAGCTCTCAAAATTCCTCCCATCATCACTCTACTCTTGATCCTGTTGAACATGATCTTCTCTACATGCTGTTCTTCCAACTTTTCTTTTTATTCCTAATCTTGTAGATTTGATGTCATAGCCAAATTAACACAATTACAATGACCTAAGGGTAAAATTGGATCTGTCTGGTGTCCTTGCAAATATCTGGGAGGCATCATGAATTTGCTTCAATTGCTAGTTAAGAACATTAATTAATAGGAAAAAAAAACAGCAAATTAATATCATTTTGGAGCATCATGTTTATTCTGCTTCAAGAAATGTTATTCTTATTG